TTTTTTGCACAAACTTTTTTTTTATTCGCACGCTCGCATCAGTTTTCGGGTTCCCAGAGGATGTCATCCATATAATCAAATCAACATGACCTTATTTATTCTTACATTATTTTTTACCTATAACTTACGATGTTTGCCCATCTACATTGTAGATGTAAGGTCGCTGAGATATGGGCATTAGTTCGAAGTTAAACTGGAATTTCGGAACCAAACTGTTGTATATTTTTGCCGTATACCGTAATGTAACCAGTAGAAGAAAACATTGTTGAAATGTATTTTTTCTTATTCTTCTTTCTCATATTTCGTATAGTATAATGAAACCCTTGTTAGTCCATTTATTATGTAAGTTGTTACGAAACCAATTTTGATGTGGCGTTATTTAGGAACTATATGTTGTTTTCTATTATGACTACTATTACATTTATCACTATTATCATGATTTGTCAAGTAGGCAAGCCATGACAAGCCTACAACTGTATTTGGCTTTTTATCTTCCCACCCGCATATCCTTTTTACATTGTGCGTAAGCTCATTTTTATTTCCTTCTTTGACTATTTGGGAATAAACAAGCAGACAACCAACCAAAATTGAAATTCGACGCCGGGAAAATTCCTTGACCCTTTACGAGGATGGAATGGACCTTAATTATAGCTGTTAGATGTCACCGAAAGCTATCCACCTATCAAATTTTATGGTAATTCATCCATAGCTTCTTGAGTTATCGTGCTACACCACACCACACCCACATACACATACACACACACATTATTACATACATATGAACATATAAAAAAAAATTAACCTTCTTGGCGAAGACATATATAAATACTGGGATGATTAACTACGGTATACGTGACAACATCAATGGAAAGGCTGGCTCTCAGCTGGTTAAGCTGTAGTTTTGATGTATATTGCCTTGGGGACAGGAAAGAAGATGAGAAGGGCTACGGGAAATGTGAAACGTTATTAAAGTTTCCGCGGATGTTTCACAACTATATGCAGACTTTTTGAAGAAATGATGACCCTAATGAGCAAAGGGATGTGCACGAGTAAACCGATTAAGGTAGTTTTGCGGAGACTTTTAAGTTTAGCATAATTTCCGCACCGTATACCGAAGGGAGCAAAATTTCCGGACAAAATTTATACACGCTTGGTTATCATTCTTCAGACTAAGTCTATGGCAGAATGGGTTCCATCCTTTTTGAATACCGGGGCTTCGGTTTGTATCTGTACCTGTATAGCCGGTATAACCACCTTTCGGCGTAACGCAGCAGCTTCATAGGCACGCGGCGCGGTGGAAGCTGGCTATATTACACCGGACGACTTGTCACACCCAGCCTTTGCACAACTAACTCTAAGCACCTTTAAATCTATCAAGTTATGATACCCCTACTGTACTTCAAGTTCCACTCTAAGATAAATCTAGGAAAAAACATGAGTTTTGAACACCTCAATCCTTGGTAGATATTTCTGGCACTTGACCAAGTCACGATTTCCCAATTCGCTTCCTAAGATGTTTTTTTTCAGCTTGCGAGTCTCGTTGGATGGTATCAAGGCTCCAGCTTCTAAAAAATTACAAGCATATCTATTGTAAGGAATGGGTAGTTTTGAACACCTCAATCCTTGGTTGATATTTCTGGCACTTGACCAAGTCACGACTATTTCCCAGTTCGCTTCCTAATATGTTTTTTCTCGCTTGCGACTATAAAGGATTCTCGTTGGATGGTATCCAGGATACAGAAACCGGTTCTTCCATATGATAATTCAAATAACGGTCTCTGCGTCATAGGTAATTTCATATCATTCACGGAAATGCCTGCAGGCGGTGCGTTTACCGTCTAGCCTTTTATCTAATTTTCTCGCCCTCATACGTGAGTTAAAAAACACGCTGCTATAGGATCTCGATAATTAGCTGCCTACACTACAGTACAGTACACACGCGCGTGTATGCAGATTAAGTCAGATGGTTGTGACAAGAGCTCTCACGCAACAGATACTTCAATGTTGCAGTTGACTTTGTGAGGATTGTTTACTCATTCCGTGCAGCAAGCAACGTGACACCCTGGTAGGTTTCAATATATTTCTTTTCTTTGTAATGCTTTATTTGGGTGCTTGAATATCTCGTCCAGACGTTGCTTCCACAAAGGTGGACACTTCTGCACTGTAGTACATGTTAGGGCGTATTCATGCACGGTTAGTAGCTTTGACCTTATATCAGATTTGACTCTTTGTTTTCGCCGTGTTTTTGCAGACCTGCCAAATATAGGAATAGCACGCTACCATACTGCGTAAAACTATTGAACGATGGCGTTTAATGTCGTTAGGCAAACGTATGTCCATTTTTTCAACCAATACAGATATTCAAAAGAACTAGAGGTTGAGTTATATTGTCGTGCGTTTACGGATGCGTCGTAAAAACAGTGTAAAAATACAATTCAGGTGTGCTACAAGTGTTTTTAATAAATAATTTTCTTTCTCTCTCTCTTTAGTGATATCCACGCCTACAGTGTTGCTTCCCGTGAATTATGTTTAAGGGAGAACTATACGGGAAAGACACAAACATGTCCACCAGCGTTTTCCATTTCGGAGGACAGTTAACCGGCGCGCACCAGCTTGACCGTGAGTCCCTATCCCCCGAAGGATCCATCCAACTCATCAGCCCTTCTTCCCTCAGCCGAGCCGGGGCTACAGCGCTACTAACGGTAGCCATCACCGTCCCGACCATCGGGTTCCTGTACCTCATGTGCCGGTGTTCCTGGCGGAGATGTCGGCGGTGGTTTTGGCCGGATGAGGCCGAGGAAGGGGCGAAGGCGGGCGGTGAGAGCGTTATGCCCGAGATTGTTGTCCTCAGCCCTACACCGCGGCTTGCTAACGGTACCACCAGAAACGTCGCGCAAAAGAAGATGAACACAAAAAATGAGTCCGCCATGTTCCCGGCAAGCCCCGCGCGCCTGCACCGCACGATGTCCACCCCGAGCCCCGGACCCACGGGAAGCGGGTCACGTGACAGGGAGGGCACCGCCGCCATCTTGGAGTCCAAACTTCACAGATCACTAAGTGACCCGGCTCTGGCCTCAAATACTCGTGCGGTCGCTGCTAGCTCAAAAGAGTCAGTGGCTAATCCTCTGAGAGCTGACAAACTCATATAAGGCCTAGGAAAAATGTTGTGTTTCCGATGTCATCCTGAAAAAGGATCAATAGGTAAGAATTCTCTCTCTTGTTCAAAGAGAAAAAGAAAAGAAAGATTACAGCTGAAGCCTTTTAATTAAAACTGAAATACAGCAGGACCAGGGTAGTCTACAGGACCTGTCCTTCCGTTTGCTTGTGGGGAGGGGACAAATATTTTACCTGATTCAGTCAATGAAAATTATTGCCTTTCTAGAAATGCGTGAAATAACGTTTCAGTAGGTATGAATTTCAGATGTCAGATAGAAAATGTTGTGGTCTTACCAGCAGTTGACACACAGGCACACACAGCCACGAAAGGATAGGGCGTTGGCCTGGGCACCTCCGTAGTTACGTCGGTGATAAGGTAATAAGATACGTCAAAAAGCACTTACTCAAGCAACTGGATATGATTTTGGAAACGGTCAGACGTTTCCAAAATCGTATTCAGTTGCTTGAGCTAACTGCTTTTTGGCACCTCCCTAGTTAGTTTGTGGGTAGCTACTATGCGAACGGACGTGTAGCACCCTGGCTATGTTTTTGTTCGAGTCGGTCGGGAAATTTCAAAAACCGGAAACACAGCATTTTATCCTAGGCCTAACGGTAAGATCAGCATCTTGAAGAGTGTCGCTCACGCGATCACGATTGATGTTCTTAGATGACAAATGAGTACCGACTGGCACTTGAAATGATTGGATCCAGTCTTCATTTTATTGGACAAGGTTGGGTTGAACAACCGATAACCAATATTTTTGTGATGATCAAGGTATGTTTGATATGACAGTTTGAAAGCAATATTTCAGAGACAAAGAACTATATTGATATGTATGGCACAGATATTTTTCATAAACATTGAAAACTTAAAAAAATCAAATCGAATAAGTGAAGACACTAGTATGCTATCTTCTTTGCACTTCTGTACTTGGCCACTAGATGGCAGTATTTTGTCGTGTGCATTGTTTATTTGACACTATGTGACAATTTTCAAATGGTTGTCACTTTCTGGTTGTTAGTATTTCACCTCATTATTTTCATCCATATAAAATTGCAGTTGTTGAGTATGATGCTTCATAATCATATTGGTGTAGTGGTTAACTATAATTTTATAGCATGTACAATAAACCAGTCTTCTTTAAATTATTGTTAATTAAGTAGTAGCTGCCACAAATATTTGTGTTGAGCAATAAAATTATTTATCCAAGTAACTAGGTTTACGGAATTAGCTTCTAATCTACATACAAGCCATGGTCAACATTGAAAGCTTAATTTACAAGTTGAAAACAGCATATAGTCATTCGTTATTGCAGATACATGTATTTGTAAGAGTTTGATTTTAATGATTGCACTGAACTTGTATGTGTAATGGCAAGCTTGTTATACTAGACAACGCCATTCCATTGAATTATGTTTACACTGATTGTTCTTATGAGAAGTTTTCAGATATATTTTAACATCCTGCTATTGGTTTGTGAACATCATTTACTTTGTTGTGCTTGGCTCATGGAAGGACAATAAATGTATCTAATTTCGTTATATCCTAGTACACGTATCATTGATCCGTTCGCTTTATTCTTGTTGCCATAAGGGTATAGGTCTTGCCAATGTAATCCGACTTTCACGACTAGTGCTGTGTATACCGCGTACCGGTTCGCTGGAACTAGTTCCGACCTTCCAAAAAATGTCACATTCCTTTTTTGTTTCTTCAATAGTCAAACCTTTGCACTGCAAAAATGAAGAAAACATTGCCATTGGGCATCGCCAAGTGTCGGCCTCCGTAAAGTATGTGGCCACAGTTTTGCCCAGACGTGTCTGCAAACAGCATATCTTGCTTCTAAACTCTGGTACTGCAATGCTCGCTAGAAAATTTTGTTGTGGAGATGCCCTCGGAGACAATGGGTAACTCTGGGGGCCGATTTGATCGTCCGAGATTAGTCTACTGTTCATCCGGTTTTCAGAGAAAAACCAAGCCAACCATTTCCATAAACGAATACTAATACTTCAGTCTTTCGGCACAGGTGCATACCTGGCAACTCTTATGTCATTCAGGGTCACTCTGTCTTCTGGGTGGTCCAAGTTTCTTGATAAAGTTATGACTAAGTGGTCCGTCCCATGAGTGAGTTTTCAGACCACAGGGTCCATTGTCTGTCCTAACCCAGTTTTGCTGGTTTCTTCACGCTTGTTAACTATGGCCTTGTGCAGGTTTGACGTGCCAGGTAAAGGTTGATGGGGGAAGATCGTTACCTTTTCATATATTGCCCAATTTTTTGTCGCTACCCCCACCTTGGGTCGTGCATGGACCCTCTCTGGCCAATGGATACTGTTTGGCCTATTTGATACTGTCTTTTTTGCCACCCTAGAATCTGCTTGGAGATTATTTGGTAGCATAGCTCAGGACATCTGTGTGCTCATTCGGTAAAACACACCCCGGGGCTTGAATAGTTAAGTTGTTCCCAAGGTTAGTCATGACTCAATACAGGTAATATTAGGTACGCTGTTAGAAAGGGTACCAAAGAAGACAGACTTCAAATTCTGATTTGGGACCTTTCCAGTTCGCCATACAATGAAATACTGACAATAAGTCAGTATCAGAATCTTCTATTGTGTATACAAATGCCATGACAAATGGGAATCGTAGAAATATACAAACATAAAGAAAAACAAACAAATAGAGAAGACAAAAAAATAGTTCGCTCTCTTGGTGACTGATATTGTTACTAAACACTGAGGAATGGACTTGGCTCCTCCTCTTACCCCCTACTGACTTCACACGAGACTCAAATTTCACAAGAAAAAGCTAGCCTCCAGGCAGATCCAGACAGTTACCATTTGCTACTGGCCTTAAAAAGGTACCGATACAAAAAAGAGAGCCCCGACAGCCCAGAAAAGAACAAGAAACAGTCATGCCTTCAAATATCAGAGTTATCAACCAAGAATCGAGGTGTTCAAAATCTCGTATTTCCCAAGAACTATCGTAGACTGGAACTCGTTGCCACCAAGCACAGTTGGGGCATCATCGATCACTACAAAGCTTTAAACAACTGCAATTAAATGTGCAAAGATTGAGTGCAACAGGTCGTTCGGTGTGATATAGCTAGCTGCCGTCGCCCCACGTGTCCGCGAAGCTGGTGTATTACGCCGAAGCAAATTTCCGTCTCGTAAACGGTCGTCGCCTTTTCTCAGAACGGTCGTCGCCTTTCCGAAGAAAAGGCGACGACCGTTCGCAAAGGCGACGACCGTTTACGAGACGGAAATTTGCTACGCCGAAGGGCGGTTATACTGGATATACTGATACAGACAGAAATGCCTAAAACATGCAAAAAATAAGCCAAAGCCTAAACCTTTGCTTGAAGAGTAGAAAACCGCAACAGAAGTTCGCCTTAGGCACGTACAAGTCAGATGACAATGAGGTTCCTTCATGGTTTTGGGCGCCAAGATGGCGACATTGATGACCCTTCTGTTCAGGCTATGTGAATCTGTCACTGCCTAGGCATGGTTTTGTCATCCATCTCATCAAATCAACATGGAAAACGTGCCATGTCACAAACTCGCAAGGAGGTGGCGTCGTGTGGCGTACTAGTAGGGCATTCGGCCCGGAACCCATGGGTCCTGGGTTCGATTCCACCTACATGCCCCGACGTTGTGCCATTAGAAAAGGCACTTTACACAGCTTCCCCCCAAGTTGTGTGGCCCCAACATGCCAGTAATTGTCGATTTCTCGGAAATGCATCCCTCGTGCGAAGGTGGGCTTATTTTCAACCCAGGCTGAACAAACGGTCTGTCCCTCAGTTATGTAATGTCAAATCCCCTGGAATGAGAAACGGATAGTCCCTAAGCCCGTTGCGTGCAGGTATAACAAAGGCTACCTGAATATCAGGTATCACACCCCAAGGCGACGTAAATTCTACCTATGTCGGAACTAACCTATCTACGTCCACGATAATACGTATAATTTTCATATTTCTTACGACAAGATGGACAGATCTTTAATTTTCGTAAGAGACAAGGTTCTGAAATAAATAAAAGACAATGGAGCATACCATTCAGCATTTAACCATAACCCATTAAACGCCTACATAATTAGATATATATTGATTTACATGTTTTATTTGAATTTCTACAAAAGAAAAATGTTGACAATGCTCAAAGCCATATGTTGTGGTTTAGCAAGGACTTAGAGAGAGTTTTACACTGTCACCCCTCCCTACTTCAAGTTAGTTTCTCCCTACTGTCTAAATTTTGCTGTGATTTATATCTTTGAAGGTATCGGAGGTATTCAGGAATACAATCTGTGTGCTACGTACTTAACCTGACAAGCTAGACTTCTAGCTAGGGGACCAAAATCTTTAAGTTTAGTCATCTTTAAAGATTTTCGGTGGTGTCAGAGATAGGACTACACCTGCAAGTTCGATCTGTGGTAAGTAGAAGTTGTTTGTCACTTTGTGTTTCGGTGTACGAGGGATTTTGTTGACGTGTCGTCTTGTCTGTATTCACTGGTTCGTACACTAAACGGGTTGACAGTTGTCAATTCATCAAAAAGAAAGTCATTATCAAATTTGATTGATAAGGTCTCAGTGCTATACGGTATCGGAAATCTGCAGACATACAATGAGTCTGACAAGCTAGACTTCTATGGGACCAAAAGTTTAGTCACCTTTAAAGGTTTTCGGTGGTTTTCGTTCCGGGGTAAGTTGAAGCTGTTTGTGTTTTGTATAGCCTCCACCAGGCCTTTACTGGAATACGGATCGTAAAATTAGGAGAGTAAAATTGTCCAGGGGAGTCAGTCCGCGGGAGGTTGGTTCTTTCCCTCTTTCTGCGCTGCCAGTCAAACCCCAAGGCGGCCAAACTCCCCTGGCAAATATTCACCTGTACATAGCCAGCGTAGTTAGTCTGGTCGAGACTAGGTTTTGTTGACGTGTCGTCTTGTCTGCATTCACTCTTGCGTAAACGGTTTGACAGTTGTCAGTTGATCAAAGAGGAAGTCATT